ATGTTATTTAAGATGCTCTTGCCATAACATCACCAAGCAGAGGGGAAAAAAAAAAAGTATGAGCAAACCTAAACAAAAAGCAGCTCCAACCTTTGTGCAGCTGAAGTATATTGACAAAGCTATACAAGCATGTAAATCCCTAACTGCATTTTTGTACTACATTTTACATATCTATAGTTCAGTGTATAGGGTGAAGTTTTTATTTTTTACATTTTTATGGCTCATTTATATTCTTATTTAATTTATCTTAATGGAATAGCGTAAGCATATTATACAACGCGTTTTTTGCCTCTATCCTCTTCTAAAGCAGAACTCCCCAGTTTCAAAAATGTTAAAGATAAATATATAATATGCAATATGAGCTCATACGTTGTCTCAGTCATAGTTCCAATATGAACTCAATTCATCACAATGACACTGTGCCACATCAAAGACCCAAACTAGACATTGTGTTGTGACATATGGCTACCGTGAGCTTACTCAGTACTTGGCTATCTCTGCATGTGCACAACTAGATGGTATAAACATCCACAGTGTATTTCAGGAAAGGACCCATCTGATTTCTGTAAAGTTGGCTCTAATCTGCACCTATCTGTACACAGTGAAATATTACGTACAACTCACTTTGTATTATCACAATGCCAATTATCAGAAAGTGAACTAATACTCAACATCCTAAAATGGAAGTTCTCAGAAAGCAGATACAAGCAGGAAGGACACACTTGTCGTATTTGAATGTTATGCCATACTTCACTAACATAATTGTCAGCATATCTTGCAAAACCTCAAGTCATCTCCAGTGTCAGACATTATAAGACTTCTTCATAAACTGTTAAGCTTGGGAGAAAACGAATCTGAAGATACCCCAAAAAGGACACAAGTGGCTTTCAGCATGTTCTCTGCATATTGTACCATACAACGAAAACAAAAGGAGACTGGGAAGAAAGGATAGGAAATATTTCTTCCTCAGTGAAATCACTCTCCTTTAATTCACTGCATTCTTTTATAAACTTACAATCCAATTCTGTGAGAAATCAACGCTCTTTTATGGATCTAAGTATTTAGCAAAACCAGGCAAAGACCATGAGAGTCATCTTCCTAATTATATGAACAGTAAAACTCCCATGCTTGAATAGAGTTAACATTACACCGTATTAAGGGGACAGTTGATAGTAATTAATTGTTCAAATTCTAAGTCTTATTTTTAATAAGAGTTTGTTATAAATGCTAGAGCACTATAATAAACCAGAAACTGTCAAGCTTATCTTTGAGAAACGTTAAGTGGGGGAAAAAGTAAAAACAACTCCAAGTAAAATCCCTTACTCCTCTTACAAGAAATAATATAAATCAACACCTTTGGCACTGACACAGTCCAACACCATAGCCTATGGATGCAGCTAACCCACTCTTGTATGGAAGGGATTGGCTTCAAAACAGCACTGTCCTGCCTCTTCCCTGGCCTTGTGAAGCACATTCACGAAGGGAGAAGAGCCTGTAAAACTGGGGACATACATTAACTCCACTGCCACTCTTGGAGGGTTTACAGGAAGAGAATGAACAGCACAGTGGAAGTTTTATAATAATAAGGTACCCTTGAATCAATGCAGCTAGTGTGGTAAATACAGTTAAACAATACTAAGTGTTTTTTCAGTATTAGATTCTTTGTTAGACATTGTCAGCTACTTGCTGATAGCCTCTCACATAGTGAGAATGGACATGGTAATTAAGGTTTAATCTAGTCTTTAAAATGATTGTTGAAAATTATTTAAAAAGAGTACTTATTTGTTTTATGTCAACATGATTTATTTTTATACAGATGGTCATTCTATTTTATATCTAGATTTTCATTGCAGCACTTAATATTATACAATATTGTTACTTGTAACAGGACAAGAATGTGCAAAGTAACACTTAGAGTACTGTATCTTAGAATGCACATTTCCTCAATGCAAAAGTCAGAAATATTGACTAAAAAAATGTGTCATCTTGTTTTATGGTTCAAATGCGCTATAAAAAAATGTTCCCAAGAAACATCTGGTTTGTATTCACACCAGTTTGATTTAAATACATGTCAACAGATAATCCTCATATTCCAAGGCTGACTGAAAACAGACCTTTTCAGCAAATTCAGCCTCACCCTAATTCCTTCTGAAATAAGTGATAATTTCTACCTTATTGGGTGCAGAATATTATTCATTAGTGATAAAACTCTCAATGAACTTCAAAATCTTACCTTTAATAATCAATTCTTACCTCATCCCATTATGACTGATCTCAGTGACACAGGAACGTATTTTAAGGGATCATTAAATAAACAAGCACATGCCTTTTTAGATTTGAAATTATATTTTCCAAAGGACTGACAACAAGCATAAAAATGAATCATAATAACCTTTATTACAGATGCACTCATTTTCAACAGCTGAAGACTGTTTCTCTTCAGTGCTAAATAACTTGGCATTTAAGCAGAACAGCAATTATCAAACAACAAAACACTACTACGGTTATGAAGTATCAAAAGAATAAAACCTGGATTTTTTGATCTGCATTTTCAAGCCCAAACAAAGATTGCACTAAAGATGGTATAATGGCGCAGGAGGTGGGCAGTATACTACACTGTAATCACAGTTATTAAAAGCAATCTGAATTACAGAAATTAAAGCAAAACCAGATTCATTCAAGTACTGTGTTTAGTATAGCACAAACATTAAAAATAATTATTTTTACACAATACAAAGGGCTTTTAGGACATAAGCTACCATGACAAATTATTGCTATTAGTTTTTCTAAAATGGGAATAAAACAATGATAGGTTATGTGAAAATGAAATAGTAAGTTTTCAGAAGAGTCTTGAATAACATTCAAGCAGTATGCAACTCAATCCTTAAAAAACATTTAATTATTTATACATAAATCAAATTTAAAAGCTTAGAGAAAATCAACTTATAATTAGGCATGCTGTATCACTGAAATGCATTTTCAATAGTGGGAGGAACCTAAATTTTGTAGTAAATCTCTCAATTCCAGAAAGTGTGCAAAATTAGACAAAAGCTAATTAGAAAGCATTAGAAGACCCTGCTTACAGCAACATAGATACAAGAAATTATCCAAGTTCAAATACGAATCAATGACCAGAAATACAATTTACATACCTGGTACTAGGGGGAAAAGCAGTTGACTACAAACAAAACCATTACATTGAAATGATTTTAAAAGTAGTTACTGAAAGGGAAACAAACAAATTTTAAAACGGTCTTCACTTTTAACATTGTGTAGTTTGTGTGTTGTAGTCCCAAACCTGTGGCTTTTGGTCACACATCAATCCATAATGAAGAAAAGAAACCAAGAATGAGCAAACTTTCCCACCCCAGAACCTACACACCCAGTCCAGCACCACTTCAGTTGGGGAGAACTGTCACTGAGCTCAACAGGACAGGATCAGGCCCCACTTGGAAACACTTGGAAAACAGCTTTATCTCACTTGCATTGTAAATGTAGAGCAGAAAGAAGATATCTCAGATTCAATAAAAAAATAACCTATTTTCAGATTTAAACATGCAGAAAAGTCAAAGAAATAAAAGATTAAACAATCACAATTCTCTCCTCTAGTGCAAGTTGTATGGTGAATTTCTGCTTATAAATATTTAAATATATTGCCTTGACACGTGTTCATGCATGGTTTTGCTTCTGCTGTGCATTCAAATGAATGAGTAATAGAATAAGGATTTCTTCTAAGCATTATGCATTATGTTCACTTAAGATAAACATTCTACAGTACACAGTGCCCTGTTGTTTATGGAAGTTTCAAAATGGTAGTCATGATCTCCTGAGCCCATTTTCAACTTCTAACATTTAGTAAGGCATTCCGAAGCAAAAGACAAAGTTCCAAAGGATGTATGAACTTAAACCGTTACAAAAACAGGAGCCCCCAGGGAAAACAATGTTTTTTAAACTTGTTTTAAACTTCTTTGCACAACTGTTCCTGCTTTGTGAAATATAGTTCCCATTGTGATTTACAGTATACTACAGCTGTTTTTTGGTGAACTTAACCAATAAAGTTATCCACATTTTTTTAATAACAGTTGAAAACCAGAGTTCCAGACCACTAGCAAGTCCTAGATAAAGGCAAATGTCATGCCAGAGCAAACAAAAAAAGACCCAGTAGATACAGAGGAAGTGACAGGAAGTTTTGGAAGAAACAAACAGAACAAAAGTTTCAAAGAGCCTGATCTGCATCATGAAAACTTACGTGAAACATTATGACTTTATAGTCTTGGAAACCTTGATTTGGGAGTGAAGAAGGAGGGAGGCAAGGGCAGGAAGGATTAGAATGGAGAACACAGCAACAGGGCTTAATCTATTTCTGAACTTTGTGAGTCACATTTAACATAAACTTTCAAGTTACACTGTTGGTAAACAGCGGCAGCAACAACAAAAAGTTGATAAATTCTGCAATTCATTCTGTCACAATAAACACTACCAGGTAACAATCCTGCACGGACCTTGTGAATGGATTAATTGACAAAATGTCAATTAGAAATTAATAGACTTATGAAATAGTTTAAAGTTAAATTAAAAGCTATGATATCCTGATGATATGAATTAAAATTTGAATAATTCACGGGTAACTATCACAAAATTTGTTAGAACTGAATGCTTTGAACTCTTACCAAGATTTGAGGACAGAAATAAAAGGGGACTTTTTTTGATAAGTTATTAAAATTTTCAATGATGTAACAAATGTCGTAGATGGAATAAATTGCTTTGTGAGACTATGAGACTACAGCAGATTCTATGAATTGTTGCAGTTTATACAGATGCTGCAGTATCTGTTCTGCAGAAAGTAGGAAAAGGTCAAAAGAAACAGACAAAGCCTTGAATGTGCAATTTCCATTTCTCTTAGGTATTTACATGATAGACAGCCCCAGTGATATGGTCACCACATCACTGAGGTACAAAATGTACAATCTCTATCTGTCAGAAAGCATTAAATGACTTACCTAAAACACCCTGTAGTAGACTGTACACTTCTTAAGTTTCTTGCTCACATCTTACCTACTCTTTTCTATCTGAAAGTGCTCAGGATCACTGGTAATTCCGCTTATACTTGCTTGAAGCTATTGCCTAAGGAATATGAAAATAATTTCTTAATTTCTCAAAAAAACATGAATTCTTGCCTGGTGCTGCTAGAAAAACAGGAGACTCCCATGATGAAGAAAACTACAGGATACTGACTTAGTGCCTATGCTTGATCAAGGGCTGTTCATAAGTAATAGCAGAACTGTTCACACTGAGGGATTTGCAAACTTTTTTTTTAAACATCCATTTTCTCATATATCTTCATCACCTAGATTATATCCACTTCTACAAAAACTTTTATCATGTCCTTTCTTGAATCCCATCTTCCCTCATTAGATTCACAACCTCAGTAATAAATAGCTTTAAGGGTAACTGCCATCCTCCACCTTGCATAACCTAACGATCTAATGAGAAAACGGTATTTCAAATGTATCATGTTTTCTCTAGAATGAAAAAGCCAGACTGCAAGAACTGACTTGACATTCAGCTCTGGTTCATACCAAAAGGAAATCCTTATGATTGTGGAGGAGAGAAAGCAGCACATTTAAGTCACGGATAAAACTCCCATTTACCCTTTTGGAGAGCTCCCACAGAAAAAGGAAGACAACCACAAATCCGAAGTGTAACATAGCCAAATCTTCTCCGTAGTCACAGGAAAGGTGCAAATATAACTTAGCAACAAAACAGCAACTCCCCCAGGCAGAACTAAATCACAAACATTGTATTGAGAAACAAAAATCACTCCTCCTTTCTCTCTACCCTCAGGCTTCTAATTAAAGGAAACTCAAAAGAGATCCTCTTTATTTCTATTGCTTGAAACAAAGAGCCCTGTTGAGTCAGGGAATACATACCTCTTTCTTAACTTCCGCCAGAAACTCCTTCTAGTCTGCCCTGAAAACGGATTTCAAACATAGAAGGCAATAGTAAATATATCTATTTCTTTTTTAATTGGATCAATAGATCTAAGTTGTTAAAAGTATGTAGACCTTTATAAGTCTCATAAGAATTAAAATACCCTGATTATATTAAAAAAGTAGATGTTTTTAGAGAAAAGGGTAATTAGCACTTAGAAGTGAGGAGGGGCCTTAATCATCACTGAACTTAGGAAACAGCTGTTAATTATTGCCTGCGGGAAAGAAAAGGGCTGACAGGAAGAATAATGACAAAAGTAAGTACAAAATTTATGTTTCTGTTGAAACCACAGTTTTAAACTGTCCATCTGAGTTTAAAAAAAATAAGGCCTGGGCTTGTGATTTCGAGGCACTCTATCAATTCACTTGGATTGCTTTGTGAAAATACTCTCCAGCTGCTGACTGGCCATTTCTGTCCTTCAGCTTTTGAGAGCTACTTTAATGCCTGGGAGCTGTTCGGGTTCATCCCATCAGCCTCCATGAGGACATTCAGTTACTGAGCAAGTACATCACATTCTGGGATGGGAATGAATAGGATCCATAGATCATGGTAGTTCTGCCGTAGGGGGCATTTATTATGCAAGACTTGCACATAGTCTAATTCTGCTTAGTACTCCCTGACTTCCAGGAAGGTTGTTTCTAATGGGACACCAGAGGAAAACTATGAAGGGCAAATGGAAAATTCCAGGAAAGCTTTATTTTCCAGGATAAGTGGATTATTTCACTATCTTCCAGAGAGGTTCTAATACAGGAAAGTAAATCACAGACAGAGACGTACAATCAGTACTGACTTTTTTTGAGAGTTACAGTAAGCTTTGCAATGGTATTCTGGTAGCTCATTCAAAAGACCGTTTCCTTCTCAGCATACAGTCATCCTTGTAATGGTGAAGTAAGCACTGTAAATGCCCCCTTCAGAGGAGATGCAGTCTTATCTCCAGAATTGACAGTAGATCCTGGGGCTGTTTTGTTGCACTTAGAGCCATTATTGTGTAACTACGTGTATATTGGTCCAAACACCATTCTGTTTGACAGGTGTGCTCATAGTAGCATGTAACCAGAAACAGCTAAATGGAAAAGTAGCAGCTATTCAATTTCTAGAAGTTAATGAAGTAATCCAGGGTTTTGATCAAGAGCAGTTTTATCATCCTGATTTTAGGAACAGCACAAATTTGTTGATGCAGGTTTACAAAATTTCTTTTTTAAAACAGCTCAATGAGAAAGGCTTGTATTCCTGGAAGTATGTTCACTTCTCTCTCTCATTCAATCTAATGAAAGACACAGCCACTCTTTACTAACCATACCACTTTCCCTTGAAACGCTCTGGGACAGCAGTATTAAACTTAAATTCGCACTGCACCACACCCTTCAAACTGGCTATGCAACATCTGTGAACATATGCTCCTTTACTGCAACAAAAGACTGAAAAAAAAAGATTGCCAACAACTATTCAACTACCTTTTCTAGTGCACTGCCACTCATGAAGGGCTGAATCTCTACTTCCTTCAATTTTCCAGTCAGGAATGAAAAGGGAAGACATATGAAGAGGGAAACAAGAGTTTGGCTAAGCCTATCCAAAACCACTCAGAAATAATCTCAAACTAACTACTTGGTGAAATTCTGGAATGAAGATATTCCCCTTTTAGCACTAGTTCAGGTTAGTTTAAATTAGGTGAGATTAGTCTAGATTCAGTTCAACACCTTTACTTTTCAAATGCAAAATAGATGAGTTTAAGAGCTCCTGCATGCTGATGAGGACATATCAACCATATGGGAACAGAAGTTGGCACACTCATTTTGCCCTCAGGTAATTTTAACCCACTTTACAGCTTTTTTTATAGAGACCATTATTTGGTGCTTATTGTATAACTTAATGATTTTTTCTAGGTCTTTTACGGGCTCACAGTTACTAGCAGATCAGAAGCTACTTGCTGATGATTTAGTTCAAGTTCCTTGTTTCACATGGCCCACCCCATTTTCCTTGAGCTCAAACAATGTGAGGAGATGCCATATCAAGCTAAAGATCTATTTGCTACCTGGTCTGTCTACAGAAAGCAACAGCTTCAAGAGACAGACATACAGTTACTGACTTTCATGCACAATTTCTCAAAAAAGCCACATGCAGAAGGGATCAGAAGGACCCAACAGCTTTGTAATACAGAGTTACAATAACAAATGGGTAAGCCTTGTCTACCAAATACTATTAAGAGCTTGCACAGGAAGCTCAATATCATGCAATCATTAATACTTTTGGGGTTTTTTGAATGTTGGATGATCTGATTCTTAGAAAAAAAGGCAAAAGAGCCAAGGCCAACTCCTAGAGGGGAGTGTAAAAGCTCCTAGGCTCTGGTCTTTCACGGGAAGAGTACGTTGCCACAAAGGCTACAGAACATCCTCAGGCTGTTCTTGATGGAGATGGACTTGGCAACTGGAATAGAAATGAAACAGCATCCTCATAAGATTCTAGATATAAGCTACTGCTGTCACTGCCACAGTTAAGAGAAAGACTGTAACATAAATGGCATCTCCGACGTGGTATTTATGTAATAGTTGTGGGGAATGTCATGTTCCAGTAGGTGTAAAAATTATTCCCACAGGGAATACATTGCTTTTGTTTACTGGGAGAGCACAGTGCTAGAACAAGAGCACCATGGCTTGCCGTTTGCTCTTGCTCTCTTGTGATAGTTACTCTTTCACACAGCACCCCGCACAGAGAGGTTAACCAGCGTTCCGGGCTCCCTCGCTGCTGCCAAATAAAGGAAAACCGATGGCGTCGCACAAAGAAGCCTCTTTCTGTTTCGAAAGCTATAAACTCAGCCGGAGCTGCTGACCCCCGTGACTCAAGAGGCACTGACTGCCCGCAGACATCAGCGCCGCGGCAGCGGCTCCCCGCCCCGGGGGCCGGGCCGGGCCCGGGCTCTCCGCCCACCCGCCCTCCCCTCAGCCGGGACGGCGAGCGGCCCCGCTCCCGCCAGCCCGGGCCGCTCCTCACCTCACCTCACCGCGGCCAGCCCCGGCCGGGAGGGGCGAAGCCGCCACCGCCGCTTCGGCGGGAGCGCGGTCGCCAGGCAACCGCCGGCGGCCACTGTAAACACCACCACGCACGTGACGTGACGTAGCACGCACGCCACACGGCCCGGCCCCCGACGACGCAGAAGCAGCCTCTGCATTACGTCACACACACCCCTCCCCACCACCGCCGGGAGCGCCTATAAATAACCCGGGGGCGCGCGCAGGCGCACCGCCGGGGCGGGGCCCGGTCGGGCCGTCACCGCCGGCCCTCACCTGCTATTTTTATTCCTTTGTTTCAAGTCCCCGCCCCTCCGCCGGCAACCGCCGCGGGAGGACGGGATGACGCCATCCGCTTCCCGGAACGCTGACGCGCGGTGGAGCGGGTGGGGAGGGGCCGCTGGAATGCTCGCGGGGCTAAGCTGCCTTAAAGGGGCAGAGTCCCTCGTCCCCGCCCCCGGGCGGGGGGGCGGCCCTGACGGGCGGGCGCAGCTGGCGGCGGTGGGGGGGGGGGGAGGCGCGGAGCCACCGCGTTCTGACCGTGCCGCGGGGAGGGGGTGTCTCCCGGGGTCTCCCTGCCCCGGCCCCTCCTGGGCGGTGGAGCGGCGGGGGCCGCGGCCGGGGCTAGCCGGAGGTGTGCGTGGCGGTGCCGTTAATGGCCGCTCGCCCCCTGGGCCGCGGCCGGCGCGGAGGGGAGCGCCGCGTCCTGCCCCAGAGCCGCAGCATCGCCCGGGCGGTGGCTGCCTGCCGCTGGAAGGCAAAGCCACAGACACACTCCGGGAGTAAAGCGACGCTAATGTGCAAAGGGAGAAGCCCGTAATGTATTTCCTACCTATTCCGAGCCAGAACGCAGAAGTACCCAATACTACAATAAAGGTTTTCTTTTCAGCGCGAACGTGTTTGGTGTAGCAAAACACAATTTCAACTCGGCCGAGAGCCGAGGGCTTCACGCTGCAGGTGTTGTCCATAGTAGGTTATCCCTGGATCGGGGATGTGCTCCGAAATAAAGCCCCTCACTCAGTATAAGGTCGAGATGATGCTGTGGCATCATATTTAGATCATGGCTCGTAGGGAAATCTAGGGTGTACTTAGTCACCTATGGCATGACCTTTATATTCCCACTCAATTTAGTAACAACAGTTGGTTTCTTATAGGGCCTGTGAGATTTAATTTATTAACTGAGTTTCTAGGGTAAGTGGAGAGAAAGTCAGAAAAGGCATGAGATGAGAAGTCGGCAGATGAAGGGGAAATGCTCAGAAAGATGGAGCTCCCAGAGAAACGTAAGTCTTTTCTCCCGAGCTTCTCAAATAGGACATTAATGCAGTTATTTAGCAAGAAATATTTTTGATACATTGTCCTGAGTGATTTTTTTTTTCCTGACTTTTAAATTGCCTGGTTATTAATTTCAGCTCTTGCCTTCTGTTCAGTTTTGAGCCTTTTTATTGAATAGTACAGTGGGATCTGTTGGAATACTAAAACTCTTGTGTTGCGAGAATGATGTTTTGGCCATCTGAGAAAAAAAAAAAAAGCCTCCGTCCACATTCAGATGGTATATCTTATTCATCAGGCTGGCATGTGGGAATATTGATATATGTTTGAGCATGTAAAATCCTGGTAGGCAAATACCAGAGTAACTTGCCTCTGTAAATTATAGAAAAAAAAAATGTTGCAGCTTGGCCCTGAGATAAACAGTGTCACAGATGGTTGTCCTCATAGCTTTTAACTCCAGAATGAATCCTGCTCTTACTGTCCCTTTGGCTGCTTTAAGTTAGGACAAGATATGTCACATGAACTTTTAGCTTGTTGAAGAGCTGCTGGATTTTTGCATTATGATCCAAAAGTGAGCTAAAAGGGTGTTGGCTTTTTTTTCTCCTAAATGATCACTTACATGAACTAAACCAAGAAAGAGGTAGAATAAAACATCAGAGATGATTGAAATATAATCTAATTAAGATGTCGATTTAAGTCAATTACTTACTGCCCTTGGAATTAAATAATGAATATCAAAAGCTCTTTATGTGCAAAATATATCTGTGAAGTTTTCCTGTGAAAGTCATTCTTTAAAAAATAAGTATTTTTCATTCTCACTCTTATAAATAATCAGGCTGACTATTCTCTTACCAATTTTATGTTTCGGTGATTCTGAATTTGATTGTCATGCAAGCTTCCTTGTGAGTCATTATCATAATTTCACATCACTCATTAAATGAAAGTTGTTTTTCCCCCTAAATCCCCTAACCTACTTCCATCATGCCAACAGGAGCATTCAGAAACTGGCACTAAGGTGCAGCTCTGATACAAGTTTTCTGTTTCCCTGTGACTCATTTGACATTAACATAATTATGTTACAGGAGTCAAAGTGATTTTCCAACTATGAGTAATGCACAATACTAGAGCTAATGTTTACAAGACACGGAGGCATATCAGCTAGCTGAAGTAACCAGCTGCTGATAACAGCTGAAGTAAGTTGGGGAATTAAAAAGTCTTATAATACAATTATCCTTCTTCGGCACTTGGTGTTATGTACGGCCGTGAGGTAGGTTGTGTGCTCTGCGAGGAAGGATCCAGAAGTATCACTGTGCCGTAATGGGGAGAAAACTGAGCCCGTGGGTAGTTCACACAAGAAGTCTTCATAGTTTCCTTCCCACTTGCATATTTATGGCAAAGTCGTTCTCAAATGAAAGCAGTGATCTTTTCAAGAAGTGGCTGTATTTACCAGAGCTCATTTCAAAACCCAAGTGACACACATCCTCTCAGCCAGGAAACCAAGATCAAAATGAAACAACAACAAAAAAATATGAGGTCATCTCACAAATATTTCGAATCGTGTATGTGAATAACACAAAAGAAGAAAACCGATAAGGATAAGGCAAAATTTAAGTGCTGTCACCACAATGAAATACCTCTTCTGTGTAGTAAAAATACCTATTTGCAGGCTAGTGAAAATGGTATAGAGAAGTATTACAATGAAGATGTTCTGAATAAATAGTAGAAAAGGTAACTACCAAATATATAAGCCATAAGAAAAAACTACAAAAATAAAATAAAGTCTTAGTGGTGATGACTTGTTTCAAGCGTTCCCCAAAATTTCTAGAAATTACTGACTTCTCAGGACTTTTTTAAGTAGTTTGAGAAATAGGTTAATTCTTTGTGACCTTTTTTTTGTTTGCAAGTAGCTTTTGAATGAAACTGGGGCACCTTCTGTTTAGAAATTTGTCAACTTTGGCTGGATATCCTTCTGATCAGGCCTCATTCACTAATGTGCTGAGCACCCAGAACATCAACCATTTCATAAGAGCTGAGGACACTTAGTTTCTCCTAGGATTATCCCATGAAGGTAGAAATCTAATTTTGAAATACCAACACAAATTGAATGCTATTTGCTAGAGTACTAGAACTGAAAATAAGCAGTTAACTTTCCTATAAAATACTACAGTAATACAAGTGGGAAGGAGGGTTAAATGCAGAAAAAAAATGCTGATAGCAGAACTGTTAGCAGAAAGCATGTTTTCCAGGAGACATACTCAAAGATCTCAGAAAAAAATTCCACGTCACCCCCCGTTCTTTATTTCACAAGAAAATCTGCTGAGGCCAGATACTTGGCATACTCAAATTATCGTCACTGACTCTCAGAGCTGGATGAGAACCAGAACTGGTAAAAAAGTTGTTTGTGGCTGAGGAAGGCTGAGGGAGGAAAGGTTTGCCACTGTACCTTGCATTCACAACAATCTCCATTTGCCAGGAGAGTCAAGACTTGGAGGTTTTCTGTTTTCTCTGCTATGGTTTTCAGGCTGCACAACTGCGAGCAGACTCTACATCTGTTTCCTTCAGTTTCCCCACCTCTTACTTACTAGGAGATGTAAAGTACCTGCTGTGCAGAGATGGCTTTGGGTGGCAACTGCTACTACAATGACCAGCATGAATGTATTTAACACATGTGGATAGAATCACCCAGAGAACCCAAACCAAACATAAACTGAACAATCCAAGCCCCATCAAATAAATTTCCACAGCACAATTTAGCAGTCTTAAATTTAATCTGATTTGCTATAAGCTCATCCAGGACTGTAGTTTTATAACTACAAATATCCACCTCTGTAGTATGCTGTGCCACTGGGTTAATATCTGTTTTCACTGCCTTTAATTACAAATATCCCTAACTACCAAAGCTCAAACCTCAGTTCAGGTTGCTAAAATATGCTACCAGAGCACATTCCTGTACTACAAGTGTCTATCATGTTATTCCTTATAGTGATACATAACAAGAGATGTTTGAATAATTTTTCTGCTCAGCTCCATACCTACCTGAAGTCCCCTGATGAAGTGGTCTTGAAAGCAGTACCTTTTCAATGCTCTGCATTTCCACTTCCTGCTTTCCCACTTAGCTCCAGAGGAATTTTCTTCTTATAATGATTTTCTGGGCAGCTGCACCCCATGCCCCCCTTTTTCCTTCTTGGAGGAACTACTGTTTATTTGTAACATTTATTTAGCATTCTGCGATGACATACAACCTGTGCAAATTCCAAGTATTTAACCTTTGTTCCTTGCTGAAGCTTTGCAAATTAACTTAAAATAGCAGAGTAAAATAGGTACAGAGGGGCATTTGCTGGAAGTTACTGATAAAATCTTGTGAGTACTGCTTACCCTTACTGGTTGGTTGGGTTTTGTTGTTGTTTTTAGCTTGTTTTTCAAGGTGAGCTCCCAAAACAAAAAGTTCACAGACAATTATTCAGTAGAGAAAATCATTACGGTTTTAGAAAGCAAAAGTAAATGGATCCATCAAGATTTAGCTTATTTTCTATATATAGAAAAATTAGCTGATATTAATTTTTTGAGTTTTCATAGTATATATACCTTGTAAGAAGGCCCAGTGTTTCTATAACAAAGATAGCTATCTCGGTGATAACCGATAGCGTGTTACTCTGACCTAGTGGCAGAAAACAGAATTGGGAGTGCATACCCATGCCAACAACAGTGAAAATAATTCCATCCCATTCCTTCCCTGGATGAGGCCCTGGTGGTGTTGTCTGCCCTCGATCTGGATGGAGCAGCACAGGCTACTGCCGTATCCCACAGCAGGACAGCCAGGAAACGACAGGCGACCTCCTCCACAGCTGCCAGGGGCTTTGGGAGAATGGATGTTAATGTCAGACCACCACCACTATAAAGGCGAGCAGACCTGCCAGGAGCATGAGCTCTATTAGGAAACACTCGGGGAAAACCTTGGATGAACGGCAAATATTGCTGTTTGGGATGGCGATGGCTCCTCAGCACATGCTTACAGGCTGAGAAGGGCTGAGTTAGTGTGAAGACAGACAGACAGACAGCTTCAGCGTGGGGTGACCTGGCCCTTCCGCGCCTGTGGGCTGG